AAAATGTTTGCTTGATTGACTCTAGAGCCTAGGGCTGGGAAAAATCTGCTCTGAGTTCATGGGTTATTACTATTGTTTCTGTGACGTGGAAGAAAATAGGCCGTTTCTGAGGATCTGTTTTTCCCCTACTCAGATACTTGAACTGCATATATGCGCTGGAATTAGCAGTTAGATGTTGAGATTAGTGATGGTATGAGCCTTTCTGCTGCTTGAGATAACATTGTTCTCCAGGATACCCCAAAGAGGACAAGGGGACAAGTGTTGAGTAATTAGAGTGGCTCCATCCAGAACTTATTCAGCCCAGCTCAGCCTAAGCTGGGTTACATATGGGTGCAGTCAAGCTGATTTCTTTATACTGCTTTCCTCACTGCTTCAGCTCAATTAAAAACATACTTGCTCAGTGTTAGCATGGCAAGAATGGATGGAGCTTGAGTGGCTGACCCGTGAGACTCATAATGCAGGAGTACCTGGTGCAGGGGTGCATGGAGCCAGCCCATGGAGATCGGTGGAGATCCTGCTGAGTTGATATTAGAGGCTGTTATAGAATGAAACCATTTCTGGGTCTCTACTTCTGAGGCAGTGTTATTCTGCTGCCTGTATAAGCAGTACCTTAATAACCATGCAAATTGAAAGTGCACCTGAATACAAATTGAAAGTATAGATGTACTTCCAGATGTTTCTGGGCTGAATCCAGGCTGTAGGCTACCACTTGGCCATCCTCGGTCTGCAGTTCCTGGTAGCTAAGTTCTTCTGTTACTGTGGTGTGATAAATTTAGCTGGTTTTGCCACCTTGTCTTGAATAATTTCCAAAGTCCTGCAGATGATGCTTTCATTACATCTTGCTAGCCAATACCAAAACGTCCAAAAAAGTGTTCTGCTCAGTGTAGTAATGTTACAGCACAGCTTGGGTTGAGATTTCTGGAGGTAGATCATTGGAGATCCAGAGGATTCAGGTTCAAGTTGGTCTGTTTTTCTTGTATGTCCCCATTCAAACGCATTTCTTAAGGAGTGTATCCAAACGAATAAACTGTCATCTTCCTGCACTTTGTGTGTCATGAATTTGGAAGAACAGCAGAAACTATTCTTCACCCCAAAGGCAAGAAGAGGCTGAGGACCAAAATTAGATCTCAATTAAGTCAAAGCTTTTATTCATGGTTTCAAATTTGGGGTAGTGGAATTTAATTTTAGGATTTGTTTTGCAGCTCTTACCTTGTGAGATACTTTGTCAATAAGACTGCTTTATGGCTTATCTACAGACTGACTCTGGCTGGTACATCTTGGGATACTTGCCCAAGTAGGCACTTTTAGGCTCTCTTTGATGTAGAGACTGTAGAAAAGGATGTTCCAGGCAAAAGACAGAGTTAGTCTCAGCAAAAAGCACTGAATCCATAAAGGTAGTCCCCACCAGATTTCAACAATGGACCTCATAAGGCAAGCGAAGGGAGCAGTAAGTGACATAACGAAGAATCAACCTGAAGTTCCTCAGATGCTGTCTGGGTAGCCTGTTGGGCCTCATACTTGGCCAGAACCAGGGTAGTTGAAACTGGTACATCTGTCCAAAAAGGAACGTGGTGAAGCTGTTTCCATCCTCTGGGAGCTCCTGTCCTTATTGCACTGACATGCAAGTTATGTCACATTCTTCTCCATTCAGAGAATAATAGTATGTTCTTGTATTCAAATATGAAAATATGTTTGACCAGCTGTGGATGAAAAGGAAATGTTCAGTCCCTGAATCTCTCCTTTGCATCATTTTGGAGCAATTCAATGACAGAAAAGGCAGTTTTCTGTGTACTTTGGTTCACTACTGGACTTGTGTGAGAAGGTGACATGTCATAGAATCATAGAATCATAGAATTGCCCAGGCCAGAAGGGACCTCCAAGGGTCATCTAGTCCGACCCCCCCGCAGTCAGCAGGGACACCCCCAACTAGACCAGGTTGCCCAGGGCCTCGTCAAGCCTCTCCTTGAATATCTCCAGGGATGGGGCCTCAACCACCTCCCTGGGCAACCTGTTCCAGTGCTCCACTACCCTCACAGTAAAGAACCCCCTTCTAATCTCCAATCTAAATCTGTTCCCCTCCAGCTTGAAGCCATTGCCCCTCGTCCTGTCACTACAGGCCTTTCTAAACAGGTTCTCCCCAGCCTTCCTGTAGGCTCCCTTCAGGTACTGGAAGGCTGCTATTAGGTCACCCCGGAGCCTCCTCTTCTCCAGGCTGATGATTATGGTTCTTCTGGTAGGCTTTTTTCTGTAAAGGTAATAGAGCATCTTCTCCACTGCCACTAATGTGAAAGCCAAACGCCTGAAAGACAATGAATTTCCTGTCACTTGTTGCTCATGTGTAGCAAGAGTTGACTCTACATGAAAACATGGGTGACCCTGTTCAGAACACTTTCAGAAGGATGTACCTTTTTCTGTGAGCCAAAGTGACTATGTGACGTATTAGGAATTAAGCTGACTAGATTATAAACTGCATTTGTGGTTACACTGCACAGAAATACGCAGTAACGTGTGTCCAGGTGTTACAGTCACTGTAAGGGTGGACAGAGGAGGAGAGAAAGGAGGGACTTTGTCCATCCCATTGCCCTGGCAGGGTGGAGGGAAAAGCGCCGTGGTATCTTATGCCTGTGGGGGAAAAAGGAATGTGCAAATTCTATCAGACAGTAGGGCTTGTTTTTAAAATAGCGTATTCAAAGATAAGTGTGATGAAGATATCTCATTTACTGATAACTTTATCTACTCGGAAGATGAAAATTTAAGTGAAAAATAGATTTATCTGGGTCACGTAACTCTTGGCACTGGTGATAGGAACGCAGTTTGGGACTGACAAAGCAAGTGCTGTACTTATCACAGCAGACTTCTGCGTTGTGTTGTCTTGCGATTTGGTGCAACAAATCAGATTAATCTCTCTAGAAACGCTGTCTGAAGTGTGCTTCCCTGTGTAGCAAAAACTTTGGAAAATAACAAAAGTTGAGTGGCTTTTGATGGCTGTGCTTGACTAAAGACTTTTGTCAAGGAGGTGGATAGAAAGAAAAAGTAAGTTCTGGAAGGTGTAGGGACTGGACACAGTATGGTGACTGTGTGCAAATGCAGGTGAGTGCATTTGGGACATGCTTTAGCCCATTGTCAACCAGTCCTGAACTGGAAAGCCTCTTCCAGCTGTAGGCCAGGATAGAATTGATGGGCTCTGAAGCACCAGGGAGGCTGAGGATGTGGTAGAGCTTTTTCCATCCTTGGTGTAGCTGCAGGTCCTGGGTGGATTGGTGGCTGCGGGGACAGGGCAGTGGACAGCTGGAAGATGAAGATAGGACTGTGTAGCCCTGTGGGCTTACCCAGTGCACCCCACTGCCCGGGGATACGCGTTAAGGTCATAGGGCATTTGTTCAGTTATTTCTTACTCTGTACTTAAAAACTTTTAACCTTACTGCTAAAGAAAAATACCATTGTATATTAGTATGACTGGAACGAAAGATGAATAGCGAATTTGCCTTGAGCCAACTGTCAATCTGACTTTGATAGCCCATCACTTAAAAGGTCCTTTTATGTTTATGAAAAAGCATGACATGACGTCAAAGCCAGGGGGAAAAAAAAAAAATAATACCAATACTTAGGGCTAAACTTGCACAGCTTCCAAGAAGAGCCCCTGTGTGAACTGTTTGTTTCTCTACATGCGTGGCTAATTAGCGTAGGTTACTTTAAGTCTGAGCAGTGGCGTTCAAGTTTCTTCTGCTGTTTTGGGGAAGCTTGTTTATGGTGCTTCCATGTGTGAATCCCTCAAACTGGAGTAGCGTAGAGCAAAGGATATTGCAGTCGCCTCTCTCACAACCTATAAGTAGTATGCTGGAAATGCTTGAGTATAATCATTATCAGGTGAGTTGTTATTGCAGACTTACTTTAAAACCTGTTGCTAAGAAGGCTTACAATAGCCAGGAAATCCTTTTCCTCTAGTATCTAGTACATCTTATTTGATTTCTTCCACAAGAACAAGCCGAGGATGTATGTGGTCACTTAATTCGACAGAAGTGATTTTTGCTGTTACAGAACAAAAAAGCTTCTCAGAGTATTATTATATTTTAGTTTGTTTTCCACCTTCCTATAAAAACATTAACGGACACAGAAAGGTGACAAAGAGTTTCCAGGATATGGTAAAAATTTTGCATGGAAAAAATTGCCTGACTTCTTTGGCTTTTTTAGTGTGCGCAGTAATAGTTTGGTATGAGTTTCTTCATATTTTGCATTTTAAAAAGTTCTAAGTGCTGAAAAGCTTATCTTAAATACAAAAATAACTGTTGCTGAGGACAGTGATTGATCTGAACTGAAACACTTCTTTTCTTGTATCTTATTTGCATAATGTGTTTATAAACAGGCTGTCTTATTTGTATATGATTTAGGCCATGTATCTGAAAGATAAATAATTTGTAGGCAAAAAATAGTGTATTCCCTTTTTTTTTAACCAATATGTTACTAAAAAAACCAACCAAACAAAAAACAAACCCTAAAAAACCAATAACAAACCTGTTGATCTCTCCGCTCTCTGTTATTTGACTTCTGTTAAAGGACAGCAATCCATGCTGCTTGCTTTTTAATTGGTAGCTACTAACAAGTAAGATGAGTCCTGCAGTTCAACTTGTTTCTCCATATTTTAGTGAAAACTAAATGTCGCGTAGCTGAAGGTCTGAGCACAGAACCGTGTTGGGGTATCTATCTAAACTGGGAAACCTGAGCCTTGGTCTGAAGTGAGAACATCTCTCATGTTGTAGAAAAATAAGTGAAAGTTCTTGGTTTACCGTTAATGAGTTGGTTTTAGAAACACTAGCTCATTAATTGATTTCTTGCCACCAAATGTGAATTAGTGAACCGCTCTTGACTTCCTTGGAGCTGCACAGGTTTGTACTTTGTCAAATGCTTAGCTGGTGTATGTGTCACAAATGTATGGCTGAAATGGATAGCGTGTATAACGATGCCGTAAAACAATAAAGCACTTTTAAAATTGTGTCTTACAGGTGCAGACTCACCTTGAGAATCCAACCAAGTACCATATTCAGCAAGCCCAGCGGCAGCAGGTAAAGCAGTACCTCTCTACCACCCTAGCAAACAAACATGCCAACCAGGCCCTGAGCTTGCCGTGCCCCAACCAGCCCGGTGATCATGTCATGCCGCCTGGAACTGGAAGCAGCGCACCCAACAGCCCCATGGCTATGCTCACCCTCAACTCCAACTGTGAAAAAGAGGTAATTTGCTCTCGCCGTGCATGTTCTTCCATAAAACAGAATTGCAGTCTGCTTTCATTCTGTTTCAAACCGTATTTGTTCGTTGTTAAGCTGTTATGTTTACCTTATTTCCTGAACTATTAACTCCAAAAACGCAACTGCTACCTCGTGTCTGTCTGAGCATATATTTGCATAGAACATTTTGGCAAGAAAAATCTGTGTCTCTCTAACTTCCTCTTTTTTTTGAACTATTTATCTAGCTCATGCTTATAAAAATGGCTTTCTTTTTTTTTCCCCCCCTTGCTTGGTGCACGCAGTGAATAAGTGACCTTTGGAGAGTACAAAACAGTTTTGTAAGCTGTAGCTTTCTGGAATAATGTTATTTATGGCTCATTCAGTGTAGAAAGAGCAAAGAGCATAGGAAAAATAACTGGAAAATACAAAGCTTTTTGAGTTATTTTAGATACTGTCGCAGTAAAATTTAGGCAAGTCTCTTGCTTAGCTGGAAGGCCAGATTAACCCAGCAAATATACCCTAAAATATTAGTGATTGCTCTTTCATGATGAGCTCAGTGCTGCAAATATAAGACTTTACTAGCCTATGCTTAGAAGACCTTCTCAACCTTGTTTTTGTCTTTGTTGGCAAGAACTTTGTGTGCTCAGGTGCTGAAGGAAGATGACTTGAAAGCTGTTAACAAGTGTAGGAATTGTGTCAATGCTTTTGTAACATGACTAATGGGAGACAATTGGTAGAGTTTCTAGTGTCCTCCCGTCCTCCTCCCTCAAGTCTTTGTGCCAGATTTCTAATACAGATGCACTCTGTGAGGAAAACGTTAGGCAACTTTGAGAAACAGTTAATACAGAACATATTTTGTACATGCAAGAGAAATTACTTGTGCTCCATAGCTTCCTAAGAAATGCAAATCAAATAGTTCCATCCTATCATCCCAGCTGTACCCAAGTTATTTTTTTTCCTTGAGATATTTACGGCTTCACTTTGCTGTGTCATCAGGCACATGTGTGCATGACACTGTTTAAATCATGCTCTTTTTGGGCTGAGACTGTGCCATGAACTCAGATCCATGCTTTGCTTTTTCTTTTTCTTTTTTTTTTTTCTTCTTCTTTTTTTTTTTCCTTTTTATTTCTGCAGGGATTTTATAAATTTGAAGAGCAAAGCAGGGTTGAGAGTGAGTGCCCGGCTCTGAATACACACTCACGAGCATCATGCATGCAGGTACTGGATGACACAGGAGCTGGAGCACAGGTCCCCTTTCTAATGAGCATGTTTCTTTGAAGTTATGTTGAAGAATAAACTTGCCCCATACTGTCTTTAAGAAGCTGAATATAAGATTTATTTTGGGAACAAACCAACAATGTTGTTTATTAGTTTTGATGTCAAAAGTGCATTTAAAACACCCCAAGAGGGCTTGTGCTTTTCTAGCACTGTAACTCTGTAGCAGAAGAACATGTGAACCGTGCTTTAAGGTCTCATAAATCTTTTCTAATGTAGGTTTTCCCAAGACTGCATGTATGTGTTCTTGTTCTGATAGTTTCTACGACCACATTTCTATGTGGGTCACATTTGCATTTAAAAAAAATGATATGAGAAGGCTTTAATCCATTCATAGTAATTTGTCCTCAATAATCATCCTTTTTTATTATTATCATTTTTTGTTTTAGCTTTAAGGGTTTTTTATTTCTAGTAGCAAGATTTCAAATATGGGCTGTAACTGTTGGTTCCTTTCTTGCCCTCGCTTCCACTCAATGTGATTCATTCTGATTGCACTTTCTTGATCTGATACAAAAACCCCATATACTACTATTTCTACCATCAACTTTACACATTGGTTTTGTAGATGACTGTCATTTAAGCTCCTTTTTTATAGTAAGCAAAAAAGAAATAGTCAATCCGGCAGAGAGTTTGGAGCACCTGCAGGGGTGCTTTGGAGGGCTCCGATTCTCCCGACTGTGCAGGAGCTTATGGAGTCACCTTCCAGCCCAGCCCCAGAAAGAGGTCTTGGGGCGTGGGTATTGCTGTCTGTACGCAGGTTTTGACCCCAAAACTGTAGGTGGGTAGACAGGCAGTGCTGCACGGGAGATGGATGAATCCTCCATCCTTAGCGTAGCTCGTTCTATGGGGAGCTCTCTCTTCTGCTGTTCCTGAGAGGAGCAGCATGTCCATGGGCAGGGAGTGCAGGGTAACTGCTGGTGGGAGGAGAGGGTTGGACCATGAAGCCTCAGCTTTGTCGTGACCTGACTGTCCTGGCTGAGCAGCGGGAGTCATGGCCAAGGGGCTGGATCTGGAGCGTGGCAGAACTGCACGGGCACCTCTGCTTGGGCCATGTCACAGAGAGCCACTCTGTGGCTGAAGTGCTTTGTCAGGCCACTGTGTCCTAGTGGTTTGGATAACTCTTGGTTTTTTTCTTTGTCCACCTTTTCTGCTGCAGATGGATGATGTGATTGATGACATAATAAGTCTGGAATCCAGTTACAATGAAGAAATCCTTGGCTTGATGGATCCAGCCCTGCAAATGGCAAATACGGTACAATGGTCCTTTCCTTCTGGTTTCCCTGTTAAGTCTCATTGTCTTCCCTTGAGAGAATGCAAAACTGAAGCATGACTTTTTTTCCAAGCAATTGAGTAGTTATTGTGTTGTCCCATAGATTGCAGTTAGTTTCTCTTTAAAGAACTTAAGGCATACAGTTTCAATGAAAAACATGAATTTAAAAATACAAACTGGAGTCAGGCCGAGGGAATACAAAGGACAATTTTACTTTTCTTACTTTGAGGTCAGGTTAGTCCATGAGGAATGAACTGAACAAACAGAAGTGAACTCATACCATTTAAAATTAAAGATCGCCGTGGATGTTACACTTGGCTTTAGAAAGCCTAGAAGGAACCTTCAGTTCCTCGGGTTCCTGTATCTTCTGGTGTTCAAGTAAGAAATTGTACGCCACGCTTAAGTGTGTGGTAGCATCCCTGTCCAGAGACGCTCCAGTTTCACTGTTAGCTCTAACATCATAGCTTTAGCTCAACCTGATTTCAATTGGAAAGAGTTCTCTAGCTAGATGACAGCAAAAATGTTACCAAATTTAGGGGATGAAAAAAAATTTAAAAACCGATTTTCAAAACAGACAAAATGGGAAGGAATAAAGAAGCTTAAAAACTGAATGGGAGAAGGGGATGTAGGAAACCTGCGACAAAAGAGGAGAACACAGAGGTGTGGAAGTCGGTGAGCGAGGGAAGGCTCAGGTTACCTCTGAGTTGCCGTTGCTGTTTGCTGGTTCACATTGCTGCGAGCATTAATGTAATCGTACTTCTGGCATAATCTTATTTTGAACTTTTGTGGAGGGTAGCTCCAGTGAATTTTTTTGCCTTAAGGCTTAAGTGCTGTTAGATCTGGCTGAGTAGATGTCTGCCAGGGCTGGCGTCTCTTTCTTTTTCATCTAGTGCCAAAATTTACGGCTTACCACATAGCATCGATTTTGTAGCATAAGTTTACATTTGCTGACAGTGCCCCTCTGATGTCATGTTAGCCTAGTCCTCACGCTCCCACAGATTCCCACAGCCCTCTCGGAGACGTGGTGCCTGCCCCAGGAAACAACCCACCACCAGCCCTGGCTAAATAGTGCCCTTTGAGTAGACAGAGAAATAATTGCAGAGTCCTACCAGAAAGAATGAATTTTCCTTTCATCTAAGATGACTTGAAAAGTGCATCTATCCTGGAGTTTGGGAGGAAAAGTTAAAAACCAATGAAAAGATAGTCATCAAGACAGTTACTCCTTTTTAATTTTTTTTTTTACTGAGGGTTCAGGTTCTTCTGGAGTCCTTTCTCTGAAGTTCCATTGGATTGGGACCCGTTAAATTAGAGAGGACTTGGATTTCCTTGTGTATTTCTTCCTTTCTTGTTTCACAGGGACCCCAGCAGTGGCTCTTTCCTGCATATAATGATACTCTACGTTCTTTTGATTCGAGTCCATATAATCAATATTTAGAGTACTCTGCATCCCTCCCACTTGCTGTGTGACAACAAGCCTTCTAAAGACTGCCTGGTCCACATTTGCCATGAAATTTCAGAAATTGCCGATTGTATGTAGTGAAGTCTGTAAAATAAGGATATGAAATAGTAGACTTAAGAATTCTTTCCTAATACATTTAAATTGTTGGAGGCAAAAAGCATATTTCAGTCTCTGAATTAACCTGGTACCAATCCTGAAGAGATGGAAATTGAACCATGTTTCCCAACAATTGGTTTGGGGGAAAAAAAAGAGCCTGATCTAACAGACGCTTTTATTTTGGAACAGGATTTAGCTCTTAAAACACTAACATTTTACTAATACGCAATTAATGTCTGTAGAGTGAGCGAAGTAGAGGTGGAAGAAATTAAGAGAGGAAATGGTCTCTAAAGAGACACAACCTATAAATAGCTGTGCTGAAACTATGACAAAGGCTGCTATTGTTCCATAACCAACAAAGAACAAAAGGACCAGTTTGTTACATTTGGTAACAGTGCATAGTTGATAAGCAAAATCAGAGATTTCTGTGTAAGAGTGAGCTAAGGGAAGTCTCCAAGTACCTCTTAATTGAAAAGGGCTGATTGCAATCAACAGCTTTTGGAAATGTTTGTAAACTTTGGTATTGGGTCACAAGTTAGCTGGCTTTGCTTCTGTGGTGAAAGGTATCAGAAACTGGTCACTAGTTTGCTGAGAAGGTTTTCTGCGTAGATATGACCTACTAATTGAATTGCTGGTAGTGTGTAAATGCCAAGTTGAGATGACAACTAATTCATCCAACTAAACAATTTCCAGCAAGAGTCTGATGTGGAAAGCTGCGTGAGTACGAGCAGCTCCACTTCTCAGTGTGACTTTCCTGTGGAAGTTAAACTCCAGGAGTAGAGAGGAGTCTTATTTCAGGGGCTGTCACTGAGCGTGTGCTGGTAGGTAAGGGGACAACACAAATAGGCTGCACGACCCAAGGAACAGAATCCCTCCAGCGTGTACTGATACTTTAGAAACAGCCCTGTTGATCACAGAGCGGATGTCTCGATGATCTGTGTAGAGCCCCAACGAGCTGAATGTGGGTGCTTGTTTTGTTGGAGTAGTGGAGGGGAGAAAGGAAAGCTTCAGACTCTCCTGAACGTACACTGTGATGAGTCTGCAGTAATAATTACTGTGTTTGAAATTTATCTTATATAAAAGCAGTAAATTGTGCACCTTGTGAAGCCAAGGCCTAGAAATATGAAATCCCACAAATAAGGGCTTTTTAGACCATGCTGTTTCAATGAAGATAACAAGCTAAACTTGGCGTAAGCCACTCTTTCATATATGTTTTGGGAGAGTAAAGATTGGAGGATCTGAATGATGCTTTATTTAAATTTCTTCTTAGCCAGAAGTGGCTAACGAAGCCTTAAGGGAAGCATATTTAAGTTGGAAGAATGCTAGAGTTTGGTGAAGGCAGGGAGGGAACCTCCTTAGCACCGGAAAAAAGGACATCAATTTCCATGTCTTTCTCAGTTTTGAGACTTGCATCTTCCCTGGAAATGGCTGTGGGAGTTTTGACCGTTTTGCTGTTGCTTTGTGCTTGAAGAAAGGGATGAACAAGGAGGTGGTGGTTGAGGTATTTAAAAGGAATGTAGATTTAGTGTTGAGGGACATGGTATAGTGGTAACTTGGCATGTTTAATTTTGTACAGTTTATTCCAATAGGAGGCATTTGAAATAAATGCCAGGTGTTGCTGCATTGTGTCCACTATAAGCCTCTTCAGTTTGGTGTGGGTTGGATTTTTTTTGTTTGTTTTGGGGTTTTTTTTGGTTTTTTTGGCCCCATTTCAGCCTAGTGACTGCTCGTGTGCTCACAGTGCGGGCAACTTGTCCATCTCAACCCAATGCCCCCAGCATAGGAATCCTCTCCTTTAATAACTGTTCATCTTACCTTACACGTCAACTAATTTTTATTCCTCTGGGACTTGCAGTAGAATTGGGAACAGAGGATGTGCCTCAGTTTTAATTTAACTTCAGATATTTTAGCCATATGAGAAGAGTTGAAGTGTTGCATGCACTTTATATGTTTCAGATGAAAAGGGTTGTATGAAGTTGAAAGAAGCCAATCAGTCTCTTTGCTTATGGATCACTGATTTAAACTGAGGTTGTTGGCATCTACCTCTAATGTGAATTTCCTTGATAAACATTCGTGTGTACATGCTAACCTGCAACGTTTTCCAGCTGTGCAAATTTCTCCCTTCATCTGCCTTTTTTCAGCTTGTGCAGCATCGGTGGTGCTGGTGCTCTGGTTGTTGCACAGCTCTTGGGCTGGTTCCTCTGGTGCTTGCAATCTCAGCAGGACCTCATCCAGCAGATGCTGCCTGCTTTACATTCCCTTTTGTGGTGATTGCTGGCACAAGCCCTGTTTACTTGCATGGCAATCAGGCACGGTGTTGACAACTTTGGAGGAAAAAAAAATAAAAATAAATCACAAACCTTTTGTAACAAGCAGGGTCCATCTTGCACTTAAGTAAAGCATCTTGGTGACCTTGACTATTCTTTATGTTTAATTATAACCCAGCTGCTTTACCCAGGCTCCGAGATGCAAGATTCGAGATTTCTGGGATGGAAAAAAAAAATATTATTTATTTATGTATCTCCCCCTCCCCCAAAATTCCTGATTAGGTTTCACATGTCTGGTTCTGAACTTCAAGTCCCTGGGCCACAAACAAGTTCTTTGTGCTCTCTCCATGCTTGGGAGCATGAATAGAAGAAGCACATCCAAGTCAGAAGGGTGTGTGACGCTGTTGCTGTGCCTGCGTCGTGGATGCGTTTGAGGGGCCAAAAGATACAAGGATCAGCCTTGTAGAGCAGAGAGAGGGAGTGGTCGCCCTGACATTAATGTGAATACGTCACAACTTGAACCATGGTCTGTGAGGGACAGCTGTGACCTTAGATTTATTGTAGATGTAGATGTATTGTGTCCTTTTTATCTTCTTTTCTTTTTTTTTTTCATATTGCATTCAAGAGCTAAGGGCAGAGTGAGGCTGGATCTTGGGGAGAATTCAATTACGTTTTTTTTTTCTGTCTCTTAAAGATTGAATCATGGGACTCAATTTTTATTGTTGGCCACTGTCTGTTCAGGACCAGTATCAGCATGGATTCTAGCTGGTGGTACTTTAAGGGATGCACGTCAACGTCAACTTTGCTTCTTACGGCATCTCCAGATGGCAGAGAAATTTTTTTAGGTCTCAGTGTGGCAAGGACCATCAGTAGGAGTTTTAATAGTTCAGGCTGTGACTCACTCCATTGTATTCAACAGCATTATTTACATGGGTGTAAAGTTAATATTCTAATCTCTGCAGGATCAGTGTCTTGGTGGGGGGGTTGGCTTTCTTTGCAGCAACAAGAAGTACTGCTACTCAGATAAGATATCAAAGTGATTTACACCTGTCTTTTCAAAATCTAGTTTGAAAACAAAAAAGAGATGGGTAAAATAATCCACTCAGTAAAAACTTTCTTAAATATGTTTCAATTTAAAGGGATAGCTTTGATAAGTCTTGTTGAAATGCTATCCTATTTCTGTATAAATGTCCTTGCTTAAACGTACCTAAATAAGAACAGCAGAATGAACAAGTAGTTGAGGAAACTTAATGTCAAAATAATCTTCCTCCTCCTGGTGTATGTTCTTGTTACGTAAGTTAAAGTAAACTGAAATGTTTTCTGTGTAGGTAGCTTTCAAATCACATGAAAAATGTGATTGATTAATACAGTGTTTCTCCCTCAAGCATGTGACAACTTGCAAAGTACTTTCACTCACATATTCCTGGAAAAATGAGGGCTTCCTCCAGGAGTGTTTAGTAGGCTCTTTCGGATATTTTGAATAAGAGAAGTGATGGGGGTACAGACATAATAGTTTCACTGAAAAATAAGGAGGAACATTAGAGCAGTATTGTCAGCATGTTACGTCTCCTACATATTTTCTGTCCACATGTTCTTGAGGAGAGAAAACAGAATTTACCCAAATGTAGGTGTTTATTCCTCAAGCCCCTCCATATCTGTGACTTTTGCTGACCTTATTGCACGCTCTGTCTGCACATGGAAAAGAGCACAGATTTCTTAGCAGATCCTACCTCTGTTTTTCTGTACCAAGCCTTTTATAAGGGCAAAACAAATGATCCTTTTCCTTGTTTATCTTTTCCAGTTGCCTGTGTCTGGCAATTTGATTGATCTTTATGGCAACCAAAGCATGCCTCCTCCGGGACTAAACATCAGCAACTCATGTCCAGCTAATCTTCCTAATATAAAAAGGGAGCTCACAGGTAAATATGTCTATAATACCACCTTGGAGCAATAGCATAATTGTTTTGAATTCAGGTGATATTGGACATAATTTCTGTTAAGAGAAAGAATATTTGGATGGCTTTTGGCTTTGCAAAACATTATTTTATTTTTTTTTTTAGCAGACATATTAGCCTGCGATGGAGTTGTGTTCATGTGTGGGCATGTGTGTGTTCACTGTGACAAAGTAAGATTAAGTCCCTAGTTGTTATGGTGAAATCTGCACATTGAAAACCTTGTTTCATGGGAAGTTTCCATGCATCTCTTGCAGAGCTGTTCTCTAGTTTGGGCTTACTCCTTGCTTTATCAAGACTATATTTTAACAACTTCACATTTGGAGTCTCCGTGGGATTCATGTTGAGGGATGCTACGTGTTGAGGCTTTACTGTAGCAGAGGAGGGCAGTAATGGACAAATAGCCTGTGGTAATATGAAATCTGGACACCTAGATCCTATAAAATGTAAAATTAGGCACTCAAAAGAGAGAATATACATCTCTTAAATTAAGATGAAAATGAAGTATCCTGTAAATTTTTTGTCATTTTGGTTCTCCCAGCACTGCTCTGAACAAGCCGTGGGAGGCAGGGGGAGGGAAGGGGGACATTAAAAGCCTCTCTCTCTAAAGCACATCTGTACAGAAGCTAAATAATTTGAAGGAAGAAATAAGAAGTTTCATATTCTCAAGCATGCATTACTTTTGCTCTTCTGCTTCACTTGAAAGGACAAAACCACGCGTAGGGTAGAGTACACAAGGCAGGCTTGACCCCAGGAGGAACAAATGTAGATCCATTCTGGAACCAATGACAAAATTATCTTAATACCCAGAAATGGCTGTTCTTAAGTCCAACAGGGAGTCATTCTGTATACACTATGGTAGGGGCATAGTTTCTTTCTTGTCTGTCGTCTTTCTGGGTTTCTGTTGTGAGAACTCACAGGCTGACTCAGTTGCAAAGCAGGTTCTGGGCAGGAATTAGTTTAAGTAGAGCAGTTTTAATAGCCCAGGAGTCAGCTTCTTGGGAGGAAATGCCACGTCTCTGAGCTGGCGGATATTTGCATTTATATGAATGCACAAAATTTGAGTTCAGCATTAAATGAAGACCCACAAACTGCTCAATGATCTGTGGCTGCTAGAAAAAGAAAAGCTTGTTATGGTGATGGATCTATGCGAAGAGGAGGGTGGGAGAGCATGGGAACTACTCAAAGTCCTGTGTTACAGGCAGTTTCATTGCCCCAGTTATAAAAAGTTAAAGGTGGCTGTAGACTGCAAATTACACATCCAACTTGTCAGATGTCCAGGCTGGTGGATTCACTGCAGACGTGTAAGATCCACCAAAGGCAGCAGAAAGAGAGAGGACATGAGTGAAGTGGTCTTGGGGAAGTCCTCACTACATCAAAATAGACCTGAATGAAGTTAAATGTCTATATGCTACATTGACCTGTACACAGAAACAATTTGGATGAGTGCTTTTTCTGTTCAAAATACATGCTAGCAGATTACATTTGATTTAGGAGAGGCTTAGGAATTAAACTCAAATTTAACAGCAGTCACTTTGGCATTGATCTGGCCAAGCCTTTTTGCAGAAAGCACTATTGGTGGTGCTTTCTGACAGCCAGTGATTTTAAAATCAGTGTGTTAATGCAGGGAGGAGTCCTTTTTCTCCGTTACCTGATTTTGCTGTTGGAACTAGGCTGGAGAGAGCTTGCAATATTTAAATCTAACATTTGTCAGAAACCTTTATCCCTCCTACTGTATAAATATCAAAATTATGAAGAATCAAGAAAAGTCCAGTCTATTATCCAAGCGGCTGATGTTGATGATGGTTGTGAGTCCTCAGCTGTAGTTACTGAAGTTTTTAATGGAAATCCTGCTCACCCAGGAGTCCAGGTTCCATAGATTTTAGCCTTGGAAACCTCGTATCTGTTTCATAAGGCAGTGTCAGATTAAGCCCGAATTTCATTGAGAGATGCAATGTTCTTTCAAGCTTTTTTTTTGGGATCCTTTGGGAGCCTAATGTAGAAGATGATGTCTTGTTATATTGCATCTAATATTGGGGTAGCTCCATATTCTAAGTAGCAAAGTAATCAACTTCCAGTACTCCAGGGGAAACCCTTATCACCTGTTATTTTGAATTGGGTGGAACATCATCCATATTCCATAAAAATAGAACTCATGAAAGAAACTTGTTAGAATGAGTGAGGGGGGTTGTTTCCATAATGGACTGTGTGATAATAAGTCACATGTTCACTTGTCCTCATCGACTCACTGCTAAACTAAATAATGCTTGCTGGTTTGGGGATTTAAATGCAACAGGGCAAGGATTAATGGTGTCACCCTTTTTAAAAATTAAAAAGGATAGAGCAAACAACAAATAATTAAAATTGCTTTAGAAACATAAGATCAAATAAAAACTGAAAATAAAAAATGTAGTTATGCTTTTGCCTGAAGTCTTGCATGCTGAAGCCTGATAATAAATGTGTAGGGCAAGGTTAAGAATGGTTTTGAGGAGACAACTAATGTGATCTGCAGCATGGTTGTCAGTTTTCCTTTTGCTTTTCCTGAAACAAGGACCATTGTCTTCTAGCAATATTGCTAGTCAAGGTGTTGAATTTTTCATCTTTTTTTCATCTAATGAGAACAGTTAGCGTAGCTGGAAAAACACAGTATTTTTAAGAGGTGGCATCAGTTATTCCTCGAATCTTGTGGTGATGTGCTTGCACGTGCCACACAAGGAGGTGGCCTTCATTCCGGTGAGTGGAGGCTCTGACTCCTGGGTGCTTCACATCCTGCGCAGGTAGCAATGCCATAAGCATGCTGCTCCTCTGGTTCAGCTTCTGCCTGCTACGTAAGCACACAGCCCGTGAGTAAGGCAGGAGAAGGTATGTCAGATTTCAGCAGTTTGTTGTCCTCAAATACCTTGCTGAGTCAGGGCCTCCGTGGGAAAGGTTCTCCTCACCCAAGTCAGGACGGGAAGTGTGGGAAGAGATGCTCTGCAGGGGTGAAGTTCAACACCAGCCTCGTGTTTTGGCAATCACAGCTTATTATTGTCCAGGCCCTTCTCACCCCTTGGAATGGCTGTAATAATTGGTTTGACAAATATCGATCAGGCTTCCTGCGCAAATGTTCCACAGGCTGAAAGGTTGTGTTTGAATTCCTTCGATTCTAATTACTTCATTCACATGCACAGCATGTATTTTTCCTACAGAGTCAGAAGCGAGAGCGTTGGCTAAGGAGAGGCAAAAGAAGGACAATCACAACTTGAGTAAGTTTTGGTTCTTCTTATTTTGCACTAATTCTAGTAATGACTTCAGAAGTTAAGTGTTTGAATAATGATGTTTTAAGTGTGAATGAAATGCTACATGTAGTATATAGTACCAGTTCATGAGGTTATGCCCATAGATCAAATATCTCGAATTTTTGTGAAATGTGTGCTTAAAACTGCTATTGAATTTCAAACTCTATTTTTTTTAATTATTTTTTTCAATAAACCAAGTGAACGGGTGATTGTTATCAATGGAATTACTGGGAATAACATTTGTCCCACATACTTTCGAGAAATCCACCGTGCACAATTTTGGCTTTTTTATTTTTAATTAATCTAAAATCAGATATGCAGTCAGTTTGTGACCTTAAACATCAGTGTGTGTCCTCAGTGTGTCAATTTAGTAAAAATTCCATTTTTGAAGGGAACACGTAGTTCCAAGTTGGAAAAAACCCACTTTAAAATAATGAGCATCTTATGACTTAAAGGATCCTTAAGTTGTCCTTTTATACTTTGTATCACTAGAAAAAGGAACTGTTTCATGCCTTGAGCTGTTCAAAAGCCTTTTCTATAGCATGAAAAGCTAATGCAGAAAAATGGTATTTAAGTTTGACTTTTGGATCCTCAACATGTTGCCTCTGGAAGAGTACTTTAAAAAAGAGACTATACATTTTTCTCCCTTTTCCTGATGTGGGATTTCCTTGAGCATCTACTTTTTTGTCTCTGAATCTGTGCGTGATGTTTTTTCACTAGGAAAACATTCTCCTCTCAGTCAAGTCCTAAGTTAACGCAACCATCCTGGTTTTTAGAGTCTCAGCTCTGCCCCTTCAGCAGTCCCACATTTTAAAGTCGTCGTTGTGTCCATGTGTAGGAGAGCAAAATAAATCACTGCCACTGGATTTTTAGTTTCATGTGAGCATTTCGTGTGAGCATTTCATGCGAGCACTGGATTTTAAGTTTCATGCATTAAAAGAAATCTTTGATGAAACTTTATATGTTGTAAATAAGTGTGAATATTACTTCTAACGTTTGTGCTGTTTTTCCTAAAGTTGAACGAAGAAGAAGATTTAATATTAATGACCGTATAAAAGAACTAGGCACTTTGATACCCAAGTCAAATGACCCGTAAGTATAATGTGCCCAAGGAGACTGTGGGAGGGAGGTGCTAAAAGGAAAAAAAAAATAAAAATCTTTAGGGTTGAGTTGTCAGGATGTGAAACCTTAGTCTCATCTTGCTGCTTGCCTGGCTGCCTCGCCGCTTGTCTTCCTAAGTGATTTTTTTAATTTATTAGATGCCATAGCTCAGCAGGACAGAACCAATCCCTCTTTCTGTGAAAATGGAGGGCAATTCCTCTGGGAAACCATCATATTCCCCTTCCTGCTAAGAAAAAAGAAAAATATGGAACGCATCTGTGTATCTGTTGACTGATAATTTGCCAGTGTTTGTGCTAGTTTCCCAGTGTTTGTGCTAGTTTCCCAGTGGTTCTTTTAGGTAATTTCACTGTTACTAACTTGTCTTAACTTCACCCAACGCTGCTTCAGTAGCAAGGAACACCCCCTTGCTCTAAAACTTGAAAGTCTCACTTAAATCTGAATCAATGTCCTGTGAGGCTTTTGGGGAGAGTTTACATTAAGGCAGTTCCTCATGGAGCAACTCATGGCTACTGTTCAGAGAGGCTCTTTAGCTTCCCCCAAGGCAAGCAAGGCAATATTGCATTGTATCAACCTAATCTTTGGTCTGATAGTAAACTTCTGCAGTAAACTTTTTCTGTATTTAAACTAAGATGTTGTGGGGGAGAAGATGATGCAGGCAGCCTCTCTCTCTAAATCAAGTGTGGGAGGAATAAAGTGGGAGAGACAATATGGGAGCCATGTCCCCCCTGGCTGGAGAACCATCATCCCCTGGCTGCAATGGAGGGTATTTGTATTTTAGGCAGAGTTTAAGTTTAAAACACCTGAATATGGTGCTCTATTGGGCTCTTCTCTTCCTGTTGTAACATAGCTGTGATGCAGTGCCACCAAGAGGACTATTGCTTGCTGCTTCCTTGGCTGAAGGACCTCAGGTCTTTCTCCCACAGAAGCACCAGATCATATATGGTCCTTATATATGGTCCTTTTAATTCCCCAGCTGGAATCAGACATCACCCAGACAGCAAGCCTGACTTGAGAAGTGCCTGGTGGGGTTTTTTTTGTGTTGTTGTCTTGCAGCTTTGCCATAAGGCAACAGAAGGAGCCCCTGACCTTCAGCGCTGGTCCCAGACTGTGCAGGAGGCAGGGGGTTGGTGCCGGGGGGGGACTTTGGGGGGAGCCTGTGCTTTGTGCCCTTCATCTGGGACGTTAGTGGCTGCAGTCTGCTTCCTCATAGCTGTGCTCTGGCCCCCTCTAGTGCATTTGAAATGCCTTCTACTTTCATAAACTTGGAATAAATATTAGCCAGGTGTTAATGTATATGTGATGTGTAATCATACCTGCCGACGTGAAGGTAATGACTATAAAATAAGCCTCCCTGAGAGCCTTAACTCTTCCTTTTCTTTATTTCGAAGGGATATGCGCTGGAATAAGGGAACTATTCTGAAGGCATCAGTGGACTATATCCGTAAGCTGCAGAGAGAACAGCAACGCACCAAGGAGCTTGAGAACAGGCAGAAGAAGTTGGAACACGCCAACAGGCACCTGCTGCTCAGAATACAGGTTTGCTGATAAATAAGCTGCAAATCCTCTTGATGTTGCAGTGTGTGACTGCAAATAATGGTGCCTGAAGCTTGTTCGTAGGAACGTGGGTTAGAAGGAACCCCCATTTTAATTAATGGTGACCAAGGCTGAGGTGTCTGCACAGGTTTTTCTAGGAAAAAAACCCCAAAACACCAGGATATATTAGTTTAAAAAAAAAAAAAAGTTAAAACCCCAACGCTCTTGTAAAGCTTGTCTATTTTTTTTTTCTACCACGGCCAATGTAAGTTGCAAACCATACTATAAAAAAGATTTATATGGTTTATATATTTTTTCTGGGTGCACGCCTAAGGAATTGGGACTCCATATATCATCTGTTTGTTGATAGTGATGAAATTCAGTTCATCTGTTTAGGAGAAAGTTCACTTTAGCCGTCTTGTTTGGGGAGTTTTTTTGACCTGTAGCTTTGGTGATTGTTTTCTTTTCTTCTGAAGCGATTATGGGCAAATGAATGAAATCTTCTTGTGTTGCTTGTGGGTTTCCTAAATTGTGTAGGGACCAATCTAGGCCCTGTCTGTCAGAGGAGCTCTGCAAATTGCAGTCTTCTACATCTGATCTCTCATTTTTTCTCTTGATCACCCTCTCCCTGGTGCTCTGCAGGAATCTGTCATCTGCTTTCTGGTGGAGGGTAAACACTGCTCACAGGATAAAATGTGTGGGGAGGGCAGTATTGGTGACAGACACTGCAGCACTGTCTCTTGAGCTCCCCATAGGTATCCTGGGACTGGCAGCTGTATTTAATGTCAACGCTGCCCTGGTTTGTCCACGAGCAGTTCAGAAGAAGCACACCTTAATGTGAGGGCTCCAAGAGTTTTTTGCAACAAGACAGCCAAGAGCTATGGATGTTGAGCTGCTTTTTTTTCCGAGGAGCTGTGGTTGGTTATCTTCCTCGTTCCTTGAAGTCTGTAGGACTGTAAATCAGTTCTCCTCAACACTGAAAAGCAGTAGGTGGCATGAATGTAGTTTCTCCATGAGCTGTTGCTTGTTAGAGTAAATCAGTTCTCCTCAACACTGAAAAGCAATAGGTGGCATGAATGTAGTTTCTCCATGGGCTGTTGCTTGTTAGATTCAGCCAGGTACCCAACAGCCTGTATTACACAGAGATTTAGGTGTGAGAACTCTGCTTCTCTAATTAATTCCTTTGCCTTCACCTCAGGCTGGGTAGACAACCTTCTCCCTGCAGTCTTCACAGCTTTGTCAGCTCTGTTCTCCAGGTGGGCAAAGATAGCTGGATACCCACCCCTCTCCATGAAGGGTTAATTAAAGAAGTATATCTAGGATTGGGTATAAGAGCACATAACACATGGGTGTCCCAGAGGTTCTCCAGTTGCTCCTCACCCTCAGTGGGACCAGCTGAGCTCTGTGTGCAGGCTGCAGTGTGCCAGGCTGTGTCAGGAGACCCCTGACCCCCACCACGGCTAATCCACAAAGGAGATAATGAAGCTAGAAATACCTGAGGGTCAAGTGTGGCAGTAAACAGCTCTAAAATAGAACGGGCTGGGGTGAGCTTCAGCGCAGTTTCTCTACTTGGTTGAGCAATCTGTTTGCTAGAGTGAGACGATAAAGACGCGCAACCCTTCCTTCTGCAGAGCAGCACCAAGCTGTGGTATTTCAAAGCGAAGTCAGATCACTTTTTAAGCATCTTTCATCTTCCTTTGCATTATCTCCCCGCTCTGGCTCCTTCTATCAAATAAACCAAAAACCAGACCCTTGAAAAATGGGCAATACATCTGGCAGCAAATAACCTAAAGTCTGTATTTTCCCTTTTTGTGTTGATTCTGATTAAGCACAGAATAAGGGACTCCTGATTTTGGCACATTAGTGGATGGAAGATGTGTTTCCTTCTTCCATCGTCTGTTGGTCCTGCAGTGTGCCATTACAAGCTTGTTGTCTTAGCCTGAAAATGAAAAAAAAGCTATTAATCAGCCTCAGTCATAGGAATATCTGGGAAATGGTACAATCACAGCAGTGATTGTGATTGCATTGATATAATGCATAAGTAGAAGCAAAACATCTCTCTTACTGCTGCATTTGAAAAAGGGCATTTAGTGAGTTCTTCTATTATCTGTCTTCAGTCAAGTGCATCTGTATGATTAAATGTGAAGGTTGGATTTAAACTTCTCAAGAAGATTTGAAGAATCCTGGCTGTCTGCGAAGTCTAACGCCTGCCTACGACTTGTCTATAATTTTTCAGTGCAGGAATAGATCTGTTCAGTTTTGGCTGACCTCTTTACTTCCAGCTCCACAGACTTGTAGAATGAGAAAAGTCCCTTCCCCTGTCTCAGCAGGAAATGACAAGCAGCACATACACAAGATATGCCTTCACATCTGACTTTTTTTAAAAAGTACTAAGCGTACGCTTCTGCTATTTCACTTCTTTTTCCCAAATTTTAAATGCTTTTCTCACCTGACCTGATGCCACACTTGCCTACTGTGGCACTGGTTTGAGAAGGAGCCCGAAGGGGAATGTATCTGTTCTTCAGGGTCTGGTGTAGGTTCTGAGGAGAGGTGTGAAGGACTTATGCCTGATGGTGTTCATCCACCTCTTCAGGAGACTTAATGTTCAGGTGAAAATCTGCAGGGTGAAAGTGTACAAGGTGCAACCACTTGTCGCTGTTGAAAAGGGAGGAAATGGTTTGTGTCCAACAGAAGGAAACTGTAAGTCACATTAAGTCACAGTACACAGTGTAAAATGAGAGATTTTTGCTTTCAGACTATTAATTTGTTCTTTATCCTCCTTTACAGGAGCTTGAGATGCAAGCTCGGGCACACGGACTGTCCCTTGTTCCCTCTACGGGCCTTTGCTCCCCTGATATGGTCAACAGGGTCATCAAACAAGAGCCCGTGCTGGACAACTGCAACCAAGACATGATGGCGCACCACACAGACCTGTCTTGCACTACCACCCTGGACCTCACTGACGGTACCATCGCCTTCAGCGACAACCTCGGAAACGTGACTGAACCCACCGGCACTTACAGTGTTCCTGCAAAAATGGGATCCAAACTGGAAGATATCTTGATGGACGATACCCTCTCCCCCGTGGGAGTAACTGACCCCCTTCTTTCCTCTGTGTCCCCTGGAGCCTCCAAGACGAGTAGCAGGAGGAGCAGCGTGAGCATGGAGGACACCGATCACGCTTGTTAGCGTACACCCGGCACACCTTTCATAAACTGCTTTGTTTCATTGATCAGTAGATAAAATAATTTACCTTTTGTAGAATTTTTTTTGATTTATTTTTTTTTTTCCCCTTGTGCTTCATCAGTAGCCCAGTGTGTGTGCGTGTGTGTATATATTATATATATAGGACTTTTTTTTTTTTTAGAATTTTTGTGAAGAAACTTGTATATTCTATTTTAAAACTACCAATGCCTCCAAAATATTGTACAGCATATGTACAGTATCTGTGAACTGGATTCGCCAAGAACTTTGAACTGGTCAAATCTACTCAAAGCAATAGAATTACAAATGAAGAGTCTGTTTCTACTGGGGGGAGGGTGGGGGGGAATCGCAGAATTGTAAATGCAACCTATTTACTTGGAAACAAAATGTAAAGTTAAAGAATGTAAAGAAACAACGACAACAAGTCCAATTTGTAATTGTATTAATTGAATAGTGCTGCCTTAAAGATACAGTGTCCCTCAAACCTTGGTCTTTACAAGCTTTTAGGGAAAAATTCCCGCCCTACTCCACCCAGAACACAAACCACAAAGGAAAAGTGTTAAGACACCCTGATTGTGTTGATTGGGATATAAAATGCTGTTGCTGAAAACTGCAGGGAGATGAGAGTCTCTTCTCTCAGAGTGCCCTTTAGTTTTACTCTGAGCTGATTTGGGGTTTTCCGTTTGATCATGGTTCGAGTTTTTTCTCTTAGATTTTTATTTTGTTTTTTGTAACGCGCGGTGATGGCTTTGCCAGCAGTAGGAGCATTGTAAGTTGGTATTCACTCTTTGGACAAAAAAAAAAAAATCAATATATTTTATCAGCTGGGCACATTATGTTGTACATATCTAATTGGCTTCCTTTTTTTTTTTTTAAATTGCATTGTACAGTACATTTTGATTTGCATGGATTCCTTAGTTATCCTCAACTTTTTGTTTTAAATATATTTGTATTTCATTTGTAAGATTTTTGCCTCTTAATATTGCAACAATTTTTTGACATTTTTAAAACTCATTGGAAGTTTTCCGCGTTCTTTGTAAACACTTGAAAGGAAGCTTTTATGCAGGGTTCTGTGTTTTAAGAGAGATTTTGAGAATATTTTGTATATTACAGTCTCACTTTGAAAATGTTTTTAAACACATTTAAGGTAGAGTACAAATTTAGATTAGGTAATAAAACAACTCTGTAGAGAAACTGAACTTATATATTTATTTTTAGTGATACAGAAAAAAGTAGTAACATGCTTGGAAACATAACTATGTAGTTAAATATACCCGTTATAGTAATTTGTGTTTTATTTCAGCACTGGGGCTGACTTAAGGAAAAAAAAAAAAGAAAAAAAAGAGTAAATTACTGTATCTGCAAATAACTGTTACTTGATAACAAGGTTATTAATTTTTAACATGCAACAATGTTGTAAAAGTAGTCGGGTGCATTATCTACTCAAGTGTAGTCCTATGCAATAACAGTAGTTCTACTTGTATTATTATCAAGCCTAGGTGTTTCCCAGAGGCCACGTCTGGTGGTTGGAGCTGGAGAGGGACGGGATGGATGTCTCGGTGGCAGCCTACAGCTCGTTCAGAATGAAGTGCCTTAAACTCTAGTTGTAGTCTTCCTCGACTAGCACTGACTGAAGTGTGGCAGAGGAGAGGAAAGAGCTTCGGGGTGATGCTTGGTAGGACGGTGGAGTGTAGCGCGGTGCCTGTGTGTAGAAAAACAAGAGCTTCCCCTTCTCCTTTGTGCTACACTGGAAAATGACGTAGGAGAAGCACGACGGTTGGTGACTGGAGTGCCAGTTTGGTGGGCTTTATGAGGAAACCTTGGTCACTGCAGTTGGTGTTCAGAAATCAAATGTGAATTGGGTGGTGGTGATGGGAGAGCTGAGGACAATGTGGGGAGCTCCCGTAGCCTGTGGCTTTCACCCCAGTGTTTCCCCACGGAAGGGGTCTTGAAGCACCCCTTGCCTGGCACCGCTGGTGGTGTGGGGCTCGGTGGGGATGTAGCTTTCCATCACAGTACTTTGGGGGCTGTGTTTGTGTCACTCTTTTTCTGTGGCTGTTGCTGGCTGCGTCTGGCCGTCTCCCTTTCCGCTTGAGCAGCGAGCTCTGTGTTAGCATCCATGCAACCACCGGCTTGTAAGCTGGTTTTTTTATTATTATTATTATTTTTATTTTTCATTTTTTTGAAGGAGGAGCTGGAGCTAGATTCTAATGATGCCTGTCCCCCCCCAGCACACCCCAGACAGCTGTTGGGAATGTGTCTTTCCGAGGGTGGTGAAGCTCTGGCCTGGGGCAGGACCCAGGAGCCTGCAGGATGCTCTGCAGCCGTGGTGGTCCTTGGGCAGGGATGTTCCCTGCAGGGCAGCGTGTGCCATAGGGAGCTCCGAGCAGAGGAGGTGGGTATGGGATCCTGGTGCTGCCGTTTGGTCTAATAGATAAAGAAAATCAGGGCTGTAAAATGCTTGTAGCTGTAACACGGGGCTGTGTTACCCTTCCCCGTGAAAATGGGACAGCATTGTGCAAAATCAGGGTGCGCACGCTTGAGTGTAGTAACTGAAAACCACTGAATATATTGAATAAAGCTTTTTGGTTTGATTGCCCACGCTGGGCAGCCAGAGATTGAAGTCTAGACTGTGGTATATAAATATTTTTTTCAAGCTTACGTGAAACACTGGTACTCGCTGAGAGCCGTGACTTCTGATTTTTTTGGCTACATGCTGTGTGGAGATGAATTAGTTGTATCAAGAGCTGGATTTCTTGATAAAAGTGGCTGGGATGCGTGTTCCCCGTCTGTTGTGTGGCTGTGGGGGTAACACACGCCTCGGCTGTGCCTGGTTCATTCCTCACCCCCTGTTCCCTTTGGCGACAGCCCTCCTCTGAGGTTGCCCACCCTGTGGGGACAGGCACGTTGATGCTGCCGTGGGGACACCTCCAGGAGACAGGGACCTCCAGGTGGGTGCGGGCTGGAGATGTGTTTGCCTTGTTTGCCCATCGTGGAACGTGAGGCTGTGACGTTTTACAGGGGATCGATGACAGAGACAGCGATTAGAGGCAGGGTTTGGCAGGAACTAGGTGGAGTGGGATGGACAGAAGTGGTTGCCCGGTCTGATGGTGTCCAGGGTGACACTGGGCTGGTGGTGGCTTCCCCGAGCGGGTGGACGGGATACCTACCAGTTCTCACTTTGCCAAAGCCATGCGACAAGCAGGAACGTGCAGAGTACCGTGAAGTTCTTCCTTACTGCTTTTGGCCTATAAAGCAATATTTAACTCTTGCAACCTGTAAAAGCAAAAAGAAGGTACCTAAGGAAAGCACAAAGCACAAAATAATGCACTTAACATTTATGTTGTTTGACATAAAATGCACTGGGGGGGAAGCTGATGTTGATAATAGTATAAATACCTATATTTCTTGAAAAAGTGACATTAATTACTGCCTCTTGCTATGATGCTTGGTACTGTAATGTTGATATTCATCTGCTGTTGACTGCAGCAATAATTTGTGTATGGTCCATAGCACTGTAAATTATGGATCAATATTAATGTATCCAGTGAAATAATTTGAACTGTTGTTCTTGATAGATGGATTAAAGCATTTGGTTTTTCACATACGTCTGTGTAAGCCACTCGTTTTCCGTGTCAGTGGATCTTGTTTTTCTGTGCATTTGAAGTCCAGCAGCGCTCCTGTGTCTGTGACTTGGTGGTGGATGTGTCCACATTCCTGACCTGGTGTCATCAGCGACCCTGGTGGCACCAGGGCTGTCCAGTTGTGTTTGTATTCCAGTAGCACCAGGGGGATGGAGCTATGGATTGGAAACCAACTTGGGCTTTGCAAATACACTCTAAAGTGGCCAGACCCAAAACTTAAGGTCCAGCGTGAGGAATGAAACAGATGGACTTGGAAAAACGTGGTTCCCTCTCTCCCCTCCTGTGGGCTCTTACCTCCCTTCTCTGCCAAATCCCCCCCGGCTGCATTGCCCGTCGCCTCCCACCCTCTGCCCTGTGTCAGGCATGGGCTCAGTGGGCCCTCAGGGTACCTCTTTGTCCTGCTGTCACTCCTGCAACTACCCCCGTAAGTCCTCAACAGAAGCACCTCACCATCTTCTCCAGCTGACCTGTACACGGAGGTATCCTGGTCCTCACTCTGCCCACCCCTGGGCCACTCCTCTGAACCCTCCGCTCGCCCAACACGCTCCCAGGTTGTGGTGGGAGCTGCAGCACTGGGTAGGAACCACCTGGGGTCTTGTTTTGTCTTCCCATCTTTGTTCTTTTTCCCCATCTCTCTGTTGCTTTCATCCCTTCTGGTCTTGTTCTCTGACAGGTTGTCTCTTACTGTGCTCTCAGCGTGGAGTCCTGACGTCTCTGTCGACGTTGCTGCAGCAGCAGTGGAGGTTAATGCCCATTATCTCAGGGGTTTTAAGCCCCAAATCCAAACAACAAGTTTTGAATTTGGCCTGTCTTGAAAATCCGATACCTATTAGGAGTAGAAGGTGCTTAATTCAGTTGCAGCTAAAAAATACTCTCTGTCCTGCATCACTCAATTTCAAAACCAACCAAATAAAAAATGCTGGATGAAGCAGCCTGACGCTGGTAGGACTACAGCAGAAAATCTCTGCTCCCTCTTTGTAGAAGATATTTGAGTTGAAGCTCCTGAGTGTTTCCAGCAGGCTGTGTGATGCTGTTTCTTTAGAAATTCAGCACAGTATTAGAGTGTGGTGTTGGAGTACTGCAAAGGGAACCTCATTTATCAGCAGCCTAGGATATAGTTTCGAATTTTGTGAGTTTTTAGATGTATTTTGGTTTTCCTGTTGGTGTTCAGTTGGGTTAGCACTGTGTTTGGGGTGGTGAACTTCTTGCTGTCGGTGGGAGCAGCTGCAGGTTTCGGCTGGATTGCGGAGCCCAGGAGGAGCAGGAAGAAAACTCATGGTGGGGGTAATGGCTGTAAAGCAGTTGTTTGGTGTGTGTCACCAAAGAGGTGGTAGGAGATCTGCTTAGAAGTCTTTTGGTTCCTCTGGGCAAGACTGAAAATTTCTCTGCAGGGTAAGAAAGTGGACATTAAAAATAAGACTGCCAGTGCCTGGTTTGCTGGAGAGCCCCGTGGCCAGGCTGCGGGGTGCTGTGAGGCTTGGCTACGTGGTGTGGTGGCACGGCAGGACTCTGTCACCACGGCACTACATCCTGCTTTCCCTCCGAGGAGACGCACCTGGGAGCTCGGCAGCTCCCGGTGCTGGGAAGGGGATGGTGATGGAGCCACCTCTGTGGGTTCAGCAGCTGCTGCTCCTTTTGCTGTCGCATCCTGGGCAGTCCCCACTGTCACACTCCCTGTTTCTCCAGCTCCTTTGAAATGCACTTGCTTAAAATTGCAGGGGAACGGCTTGAAAAAGCATCCCTGACTTAAAAAAGTCAACAAGGGCTTACCAGGATGCTGGCTCGCGGGTTAAATGCACGTGCAGTGACCATCACCTCTGTCTTTGCCTGTGATCCGAGCTGCACCCTGACTTGAAACTGCTCCATTTTTAACTAAGTTTTTGAGAGCAACTCTCTTAATAGATGTGCCTCGAGGCTCGTGTCTCCACCAAGACCCGAAGCTGCAGTTTCTTCCTTTTCATGACTTTCTCACCTGGATTGTGAAGGAGCGAAGACGCTTCTGTGGAGCTCTGGCAGTGATGAACACGGATGGATGCTCTCATCTGCAGCTCCATGGAGGAAAAGAAGCTCCCAGCCCCTTGTGCTGCCATTCTCACCCCGTCCCTGGGCTGGGGTCACTGGGCTGAGGCACCGTTGTGCTCTATGGTTAGAGGGAAACGATGGTTCCTGCGACACACCTCTACATTAAATGCTGTCCAAGGCAATGAGAAGGCTGCTGTGGTCAGTAGGGCATGCAAAGCATCTAAATATTGATTGCTTTTCTGATGTATTTATAAAAACTATGCACGCAGTTGCATCTTGAGGGTATTGTCTCAAAGGAGCTATGGGAGACGTCCTTAATGTGTTTGCTGTGGGCAGGGGAGGCCAGAGGAGCTACACGGGGTGTCTGGGGCGGCTGTAGGACATCAACGGAGGCTTTGGGAGCTGCCAGGGTTCACCTCACTGTAGCCACAGGTAGTGCAGGTGCAGGTATTTGGGAGGGAGGGGAAGCACTGGCTTCACAGTGAGCCCCGGCGTCCCAGTGTGGTGCTGGTCCCGTGGGGCCAGGCACTGGCAGGGCACTGGGCTCTGTGTGGATGGGACAGGACACAGCCTGGGGGGCTCCCGTCTTACTCAAGGGATCCTGCTCCCTCGCAGAGCCTCTCTAGAGCTTCCTGCTCCCCCTGGCCTTCCTCCCTGCCTTTGAGGGCAACAAAGGTTAGACGATAATTAAAAAAGCAGGGAAAAGCTCTTGTGTCCTTTCTCTCATGAAGCTTTAACGATGGCAGCTTCCCTCGCTGGCCATGGACCCTGCCACCATGGTGATTTCGGCAGCATCCCTCCACGGCACCCTGGGAGCTCCAGCCCAACCTGCTCTAAGGTGAGTTATGATTTAATACTGTCATTGGAGAGGCTCTTTCTCTGGATTGCAGCCTGTAACCGCTCTACCTGGCTCCGGGCAGAGAAGCACCACTGGGAACGTGGTGGTGAACGAGGAACAGGGCAGTTGGTGGTGTGTTCAGAGGTCTTTGTTTAGCCACTTTAAATACACTTAATCAAAATCTTTTAGTGTCTTCAAGACCTCTGGCCTCATTCTCATTGTACACTGGGTCCATTAAATGCTACTATTGACTGGACGTGAGTGACATCTACATAGTTACTCCTTTATTTAAAATATCAGAGCTCATAATCATTTTCTTTTTTTTTTCCCCTGCTGAAAAACATTTTCTAGAGCAGGCTGTTGCAAAAGAAATTACTCCAGAATGTGTAAATAATAAAACAATTTCTTTTTTTTTTTTTTTTTTTTTTTTCCCTGCTGAAAAACAGTTTCTAGAGCAGGCTGTTGCAAAAGAAATTACTCCAGAATGTGTAAATAATAAAACAATTTCTTCTTCTCTGACCACTAAAGTAGTTTTGTTCAAACAAGCCCAGGAAGAACTTGTGCTGCAGAGACCCCAGCTGGGTCCCCTACGGCTCCCCACTTCTCTCCTTGGAGTAATACGTCGCTGGAGGTAATAGAAAAATAAGCAGAGATTTTTAGGTCTAATGCTAATAGTTCCATCTGAAAAAGCAGGAATTAAATCACAGCTGAATAAATGGAAAAGAATTAAATTCATGCTAGACATTAAAAAAAAAAAATGCACTGCAAACAATGAGGTGTATTTTTAAAAGTCACTGTTTTATTAATAATACTTTCCACCTCCTTCCCTTGATCTTCGGATGACAAGCCTGGCAGAGGCACTCTATCAGACACTGCAGCAATTTAGCTGCTGTCATATGCCTTTCTTGATACACACGTATTAGTCACGCAGCCGTTTTATGTTCTTTAGCATATTTTAGTATATAATTAAAAATGTGGCTGTCTGCTACTAAGCAACCAAGCGTGTCAGGGGTTGATTGTATTCTGTCACCCACGGCAGAAGGGAGGGTAAAAAATAATAATCATGTGTTCACTTTTCAGTCTTAATTGTGCACCAGCTCCTTTGATATGTTGTTACACACACACACACACACACACACCAGCTCCTGAAGGTGGAGGCAAAGCCAACGAGTGGGAACATCTGGCAGGTGACCTGCAGCCACGTCGCTGTTACCAGTTGCACATGGGCCTTAGGTGTTGAGTTTTTAATGGGTAGGTGTGATTTTGTGACTCTTCTGGGTTGAGTTTGGCTGGACCCTGCTAAGCTACTGCTTGGTTTTCCATGGGACTGGGGTGCTAAATGCCTTTGGGCTCCTGAGGGTCCCTCCCTGGACATTTAAATTAAGGAACTCAAGTTGATGTTTGTCTTGTACCTCCTCCACGTAGGTAGATGGGACTAGGACTCCTGCACTGAAGGACACTGACTGTTGGGCAGCCAATAATCCTGTGCTTCATTCATTTCTAGATTATCTGAGGTGAAAAATGGCCCATCCAGCTCCTGCAGAGGAGGTAAACCACTTGTGAGAGCACCCAGGTGATCACTCTGGGAGAGGAGCACCAGAGCTGCAGGTCTCCATTTGCAGACCATTTCTAAGAGGTGGCCAGCACCAAATGGGGCAGAGACACCACCACCTTTCCCTCTCACAGGCTCTCGGCCCATTGTCCCTCAGCACAGATATACTTGGGGCTCTCTTACACTCCTAAAAAGTTCAGGTTCTCATCTAATCTTGAGTTGCACTGTCCCTTTCTGTTCTAGCCAAAGGCTGATGGTGCAGATGGCTTCCCTGTGAGCAGGAAAGATGCTTTCCCCACTTGGTGGATGCTGTCAGGAACCGTCTGAATGAACCTGCATTTGATGTTCTGGAAAAAGGACAAAATTTCATTGATACCCTCAGCCAGAGGCTTATTTAACTCGGGGCGTTAGGGGGTGATTTCTATGGGAAGATGTGGCTCTGAGGATGTGCTCTTAAGCTGTTTGCTGCAGAAGCTCTATGAGGGGTCGGCTTGGTAGGGGGGCACCATCTGTGTGAGACCCCCTCCTGAAGCTGGAGAAGTGCCTGGATC